CACACACACACACACACACACACACACACACATAGGAAAAAAAAAAAAAGTCGCGGTGTATATTTCAATGTTCTAGCGGAAGATTCATCCCGGATTTGCTCATCCTATCGATCGAAGTAGCCACAAACAAAAGTGTAGTATCGTATCTTTTGCGAGGCTACGCCCGCTTAAGCCCCTACGGGGCCCTATCTGCAGCAAGGTCGGCAGCCCTAAGTGAAGGCAGGCACGACAGGCCCTCCTGGCCTCGTTTTCAGGGTACCCCGCATGTGGGGAAATTCAAACAGTTGCGCTGCGCCAGTTGGTTGAATGAACCCAGGCCCTGGGCCGCCTGTGTAAATGTATGTGAAGCAGGCCCTGGGCTGGATACGGGTACCGGGCCAAACAAAGGCCGAAAGCAGTTGGGCGCATGCAACCACTCCAGGCCCAAGGGCTGCTCTCCTCGTGACTGGGCCTCAGGCTACCGGGGCCTACTGGAAGCTCCCTGGACTGGACGCAGGCAGGCCACTTCGATATAGGGAAGGGCCTGCCTCCTCATTCGGCATTCGGGTGATGGCTGCATGCTGCGCTCATTGCTGGCTGGCTGGCACTCATGCTCTCACGGGCGAGCAGGGAGCTAGCGGGCAGCCATAGCCGAGCTGCTCCGCTGTAGGCTGGATGTGACGCAGGGTGGTCCTTGGGTGCTAGTGGCATCTGTGTGGTGTGGATCGGGGTTGTGAGTGTGGCGAGAGACATACCTGGTGTTGGAGGCGTGCGGCATTGTCCGCTGCATGTTGTCAAGCACACTTTGCCAGGTGGAGGGACCGCCAGATTACACAAGTTCAAAGCTAGTAGTCTGATTGAGTCCTACGGGTGCTTGTGTGCGGCCGCATTCTATAATTATTATAAGCAAAATCAGGCGGAGGGTATGTACTTAGTCTATGTCTCTGCTGCAGGCGAGCCGGTAAGAATGCCGCCGGAGATAGAGGGAGTAGTTGCCAAGTACCCTGATCTATTTGAAGAGCCAACAGGGGTTGTTGATAGGGAGGTCGTCCACGCGATAGAGATTATCCCAGGGTCTAGTATTCCGAAGGGTAGGATCTATCGGATGTCTCCAGGCGAGCTTGATGAGCTTCGCCGCCAACTCAAGGAACTCATAGAGAAGGGTTGGATCCGGCCGAGTGTCTCTCCTTACGGATCTCCAGTACTATTTGTACCCAAGAAGAAGGAGGGCACTCTCGGGATGTGCATTGACTATAGGGGCCTCGATGCCATCACTGTGAAGAACAGAGAGCCCCTACCGCGCATCGATGATCTGTTAGATAGAGTGCAAGGGTGTCGGTACTTCAGTAAGATAGATCTGAAGTCCGGGTACCATCAGATTGCAATCCGGCCCGAGGATCAACACAAAACCGCATTTCAGACCAGGTACGGTCTGTACGAGTTTTGTGGTGATGCCTTTTGGCCTTTCAGCACGCTATGAATCGGATATTCCATGACTACTTGGATAAGTTTGTCGTCGTGTACCTCGATGACATACTTATTTTWAGTAAGACTGTCGAGGAGCACGTAGCACACTTAGACAAAGTTCTCAGTCTCCTGCCACAGCACAAGTTCAAGATCAACGGTGAAAAGCGCGAGTTTGGCCGCATCCGTATCTTGTACTTGGGTCATGAGATCTCCGCGGAAGGGTTGAAGCCCGATGACGCGAAGGTGGCCAGCATTCGTGACTGGCCACGACCTCAGTTCGTGACTGAGATGAGATCTTTCTTAGGAATGACAGGCTACTACCGGACTTTTGTAAAGAACTATAGCATAGCGGCCGCTCCTTTGACTGATCTGACCCGCCTTGACACCCCGTGGGAGTGGACAGATGAGTGCGAGGCTGCTTTCAGACATCTGAAGCATGCATTGACGCACTATGAAGTCTTGAAGCTACCCGATCCTGATAAGCCATTTATAGTAACCACGGATGCTAGCCAATATGACATTGGTGCCGTGCTTGCGCAGCAGGAGGGGCCAAAGTTGAGGCCAATTGAGTACATGTCTAAGAAAATGCCGTCTCAGAAGTTGGCTAAGTCCACTTATGAGAAGGAACTTTATGCGGTGTACAAGGCTCTCACCCATTGGAGACATTATCTCCTTGGGAGGTTCTTCATCCTCAGAACTGATCATCAGACCCTGAAATGGATGAGAACCCAGCTGGTACTCTCTGATGCTCTCTAGCGTTGGATCGAAGTCATTGAGCAATATGACTTTGACCCTCAGTATCTAAAAGGGGAGTATAACAAGGTTGCTGACGCCCTGTCGCGCAGACCAGACTTCTCAGGTGCGCTGATTACTGAGTTCAGTCTCACAGACAATGTTACTCAATCTTTGGTGGAAGCCTATCGCGAGGACCAGTTTCGACCAGACTTCTCATACGCAGACTTGAGGCGAAGGACAAGAAGACGTCCGCCGAGTTTGAGTTGGTTAATGGCTTGCTATTCCTTGAGAAGGCAAGGAATAAACGATTGTGTGTTCCCAATAGTGAGTCTTTGCATAGTTTGTTTTTAGGTGAGTGTCAGGATGTCACCGGTCATTTCGGGTATAAGAAGACCGCAGCCAACTTGCTGCAGCGATTCTGGTGGCCCACGATGAAGCGAGATGCACAGCAGTACGTGGAGACTTGTCAAGTTTGTCAACGGGACAAGCCCCGTACTCAGGCTCCTCTTGGGCTGCTCAAGCCCCTTCCGATTCCGAAAAGGCCGGGTGAAAGCTTATCCATGGACTTCATGGATACGCTGGTCACCAGCAAGAGTGGGATGAGGCAGATCTTCGTCATCGTGGATAGGTTTAGTAAGTATGCTAGGTTAATAGCCATGCCGGAAACAGCGAAGACCGAGTATATAATCAGGCTGCTCAAAGAGAACTGGGTGAGGGATTTTGGATTGCCTAAGTCTATTGTAAGTGACAGGGATGTCAGATTTACAAGTGAATTATGGAAGGCCGCTGCAGCTGAACAAGGAACTCAACTGCA